CGGCGCGCGGGTAGCGTTGACGCCTGGGCTGCCGCGTGCCGGGGGCTGCTCCGTCGAGGGGCGTCGCGGCGGCTGGGGAGTCCCCGTCATGGGGCAGCACCAAAGGGATGAGCTGAGGGGGGCTCGAGGAGGAGAGTTTTGTGAACGGGGATCTGGGGGATCGGCCTGCAGCCCAGGAACGGGGGGCTGGACGGAGGAAAGGGGTTTGGGGCTGAGGGAGGAGAAGGGGAACGGTGAGAGGAGCTGGTTTGCTCCCCTCCATAACTCCACGGTCCGGAGTGGAGCCCGTCTCACCCAAAACAGGTAGGGAGGGAATACGATGGCAATGACCCCAAGTCCTTTGGGGCCCTGGGTGTGAATCAGGGTCTGGGGGGGCTTTGCCTTTTGGTCCGTCTGAGCCCCTTCCCCGAGCGTGAGCCGGGATCTGGGCAGGTCTGCTGCTCTGAGCAGGGGACTGAGGCCTGTGGTGCGTGTGCGGACATCTGGGAGGGCTTGGGCCCTCGGGGAGACAGCCGAGCCCCGTTGCCTGTCCTCCGTGTGTCAGCTTCGATCCCTGATGCGTGAGGAAGCGGGGGAGGATGCGAATGCCCGCGGGAACAAGGTCGGCCATTCTCATCTCGGAGCGGCTCTCAGGCCGCGTTCGTCTCCACGAGGAGATTCGGGGTACCTGTCCGGCGAGGCAGTCTCATCCCACGAACGGGCAGCTTTGCTCCTGTGCTGCAAGCGGATGGGCTGCGCGCTCCCCCATGCACCAGGCCCCGATCAGGAGTAGGAAGGGGTGGAAAGCAGGGGCTCAGAGTTGTGCAGGGGGAGGTCTCAAGGAGGCTTCATTTCCCCTCGCCTTCCAGAGTCCCCTTTGAGAACTGACTCCCTCGATAGTCCTGCTGCCGCCTGCCCCTCGTGGGCGGTGCTGAAGAGGCAGCACGAGGCTGTCCTGGGCAGGCAGGGACCCGCTTGCAGCCAGCACGGCTGGGGGCATCATTGCCAAGGAGCCAGAGGGAGATCTGCACTGAGGTTTGGGGGGGCTAGGAAATTCTTACAAGACGGTCAAAAAGCCCATGAGCCCCGTTCCTGCGCCCTTGCAGCATGCACAGATTGGCCAGAGACTTACCACCCCCCAGCTTTGGGCCGTCCGCATACTTAGTCAGCGGTGAGAAATACAAGAAGTCGGCATGTTTCTAGTTGTGGGGGGGAGCTGCTGGATTTGCCCTGTGTTTGTCAGTGATGTGGAATAAAAAAATATAGTCCAGTGACAGCGTGGTGGTGACAAATGAAGGGAGCGGTCGCTGATGCTGAGTGGACTGGAGCACCTGGTGAGCTGGGCACAAGCAAGCGGCGTGAAACAGCTGGGTGCAAAGTCATCGCGAGGGCGGTGACTGAAAAAGACGAGTCGGCTGAACGTGAGCCTCCGCGGGGCCGCAGTCAGAGGCCTAACGTGCTCTTTGAATACAGAAGTGGGGGCCTGGTGGATAGAAACAGAGTGTGGACAATGACCTCAGCTCCTTGCAGTGGAGTGGGTGCTACTGGGTTTTTGGGGTACTTCCACAATTCAAGAGGTTTGTTGAGCAGTCGGGGTTCAGAGAAGAGCCACAGGAATAAAGGTAGGGTTGGGAGTGATGCCTAATTTTGAGAGGTTTGGGGAGGTCGGTCTGTTAGAAGGTAAGGGCAGGGGTCACAGCAGACACGCGTTCACCTGGGAACAGAAGTTTAACAGTTGAGGTCTCTCCAGGGTGGCAGACGATTACAACATGGGCCCGTGCCTGGAATT